GATCGACGTTAAATTCAAGGGGATCATCATTATATCCCGAAAATTTAAATAAAATAATTTTTATACATGATAATTCTAAAATTACTAAATCGATTTTGGATTTATAGTTTTCTATTAAATCAATATCATCTCTATTCAAGAAAGTTTATGATATAAATATTAGCAAAAACCTAATAATGTTATATTAATTATTTCAGCCCATTAATTTTTTTTAAAAGTATATTGTATTTATATATTTACAATAATGATTTTATATTTAAAATTGAATAAAACAGGTTACTTCTTTTATTTAAAAAATTTATATAAAATTTATTCATGAAAATATAAATATTATGAAAAGAAATATCTTTGTATTACTTGTCGTAATTTACCCACACAACCTCTAAAAGGTTATCTCTTTGATATATGTTATCAAATTTCGTAAGTTCTATATACATCAATAATAAAACAATGATATTCAAAACATCAAATTTTAATTATTACAATGATATTCAAAACATCATATACTAAGTATTACAATGATATTCAAAACATCAAATTTTAATTACTTATCAAATTCTAATTACAATAATATTCAAAACATCATATTCTAAAATTCCTGAAGCTGTGCAAAAAAGGTACTGGCACATTACAAAAATATTCAAGCTACAATTGATAAGCAAAAACAAAAAGAAGAACAAATTAGACAGGATAGAAATTCCTGACAACAATCATTAGTACAAGAACATTATTGTGGCTTGCTCAACACTAAAAGCTGACCACCAAGATTTCTTTGACTCAATCAGTGATGAAAATATTTATCTCAATCATATATTGTTTTAAATTCAACTGATACTACCAAAGCCTACCATTCCAACAAATCTTAATCTACCCAAAGCAATAAAAACAAACCAAATACCACAATGATACTTCCAAAACCTACCATTCAGACAAACTTAATATACCCAAATCAATAAAAACATATCAGATAGATATTCCTACAACAATCATTACTACAAGAACATTATTGTGGCTTGCTCAACACTAACTAACCACCAAGATTTCTTGGATTCAATCAATTATGGAATTACTTATCTCAATCATATATAGTTTAAGTTAATTTATCTACTTGATCATTATTATTATTATTTTTTTTAATTATTTTTAAACATTCCAAAAATCCACAACCATCTAAACCCCAGATTTTAATACATATTATTCAATAAATATAGACTTTAAGTTAGTTTGTATTATATATTTTTCTAAATATAAGTTTTTATATAAACATTATTCAATTATTTAACCCAAAATCAAATTTTTAATTTTTTTTTTTAAATAACAATTTTAGAATTATAGAAATAAGTCATTCATTCATATATACCCTCTTCCCTCTTCTCCTTTTTTATTTCTTCTAAATGGGTATGTCAAGCATTTGTAATGCCTGGCATAGAAATATAACTTTGACCCAAGCTATTTGTTATAAACATGGGCCCAGGTCAAAACCATGTATAAACTCTAGTAAACCCCTTCAAATGAAATTTTGTACAACAAAATTGAAACAACCCCCATTGTAAATCAAAATTTTAATCCTGTCTTTTATGATAATTTTTTAAAGTGGGAAAAGCCACCTTAATCCACCTACCCCTTATATCAAGGTCTTTAATTTCTAATTTTTTAACAACACTTATTATGGAAGTTAATTCAAATTTAAATTCCCTTAAGGCTTGGGAGAATCTTTTAACCTTTCCTTTTAAAGTCTTAATTAAACCTACAGATAAAAATAAAAAAACTATTTTGCATGAATATATAAAATATAAAATACCATTTATATGACTTAGAAATGGAAAATTACGTTCCTGATGTAAGGGCTACATCTGATTTTGCCCATAAATGCAAAATCATATCAAAAAAAATAGACCAAGGGGACGTATGTGGAGCTCTTAAATTGGCTTCATCTAATGATAAATTAGCTCCATTTGATGAACATACTTTCACTTTATTAAAAGAATTGCACCCTCAGACTTTTCCTGAAGATCTTCCCATCCCTATAAAATCTAATTTAATCGAAATAGGCAAGGAAGAACTAATTAAAACAGTTTTATTTTATAAAAACTCTTCAGGGGGAATTAACGGTTTTCGCCCCTCTTATTCCAATTTTTAATTAACCCTAAAAATCCTCATCAAGATTCATTTGTAAATTCATTGGTAATACTTAGTGAAAATATATTGAACAATGATTTACCTAGTCAAGTTCACCAAATTCTTTTTGAGGCAAGATTAATTGCCTTTTCTAAACCTGATGGTGGATTCGGCCAATTGCATTAGCTAAGATAATCGTTGAGCGCATCAAACCTGATGCTTCAAAAATGTTCCAAACATATCAATTAGGCTTTGGTACTAAAGGGGGATGCGAAATAGCCGCTCACTCTCCTCGCATATATATCGAAGATCCTCCTCCAGACGCCGTCGTCTGTAAGCTTGATTTTAAAAATGCTTTTTATTCTTTATCCTGAAAAGTATTTTGAATATTTTTTATGATAAATTCCCAGTTTATGCAAGATTTATTGAACAATATTATGGCTGTAGAACCCCTCTCAAATTCGGGGAATATACAATTCCATCTGACGAAGGTATTCAACAAGGAAACCCTTTGGGCCCTCTGATCTTTAGTTTTGGTATACATAACCTAGTTCATTGTCTAAAATCCTTTTTTAATCTAGATTTAAACATATGGTATCTAGATGATGGTACCATTTGCTGACCTTCTAAAAATATTCTTGCAGTGATAGAATATATAAAGAAGAATTCTCTAAACATAGGCCTTACTCTAAATAAAGCTAAATCTAAAATATGCTTTTTAAATTCTAATACTCTCGAAATCCAAGGGTTTAAAATCGTTAAAAAAAGCGAAATTAATCTTCTAGGTTCACCTTTAAGCAGTTTTTCCAACTGTGAGGTGTTCGTGGAAAAATTTTTCGAAGGCTTATTAGGACTTGAAACTATTTTAAACGAAATTCTTTCACACCAGAGCTTTTTTCTTTTAAAATATTTATTTTTACCAAAGATTTTACATATTTTTAGATCTTCTTCCTATTTTTAAATAATGAAATTATTAATCGTGTTCATGAATTTTTTCGAAGATTATTAGAAAACATTTTAAATATTAAACTGGAAGATTTTAATTGGGGTTTCTCACAATTACCCTCGAAAATGGGTGGTTTAGATTTAAATCCTTTAAATCTTATATCTTTTTCCTCATTTTTGGCATCGCGTTTTATGAATAAAGCCATGATATCTTCTTTTATCTCTTCTAAGAATAACCTTATAAACTCAGCCTTGACAGCTTGGGTATCTTTAGCTCCACCATAAGCTGTTTTACCCACAATCTTAACACACCAATCTATTTTCAAACCTTTAATTAAAAATTTTTTTTAAATAATCTCATCAAACCCCCCTTTGGAGTATATTCAACTATTACAGAATGCTGACTCTACTAGTGATTATGAATGGTTGGAAGCATAACCAAGTCGTAACCTAGGTAACCTCTTATCAGATGAACAATTAAGAGTAGCCATAGGCCATCGACTTGGATGTAACATTGTTGAACCACATACATGCATCAAATGTAAAATATTAGTTGACTCCAAAGGGAGACATGGTCTAAATTGTATATATAGTCAAGGCAGGCATGAAAGGCATGCAGCAATTAATTTAGCTATTAGCCGTTCTCTTACCAGGGCCCGGATACCAAACATCCTGGAACCTACAAATTTATCATTAGATGATGGCTTAAGACCAGATGACTTAACTTCCGTGCCTTGATCTTTAGGGAAATCCTTAATTTGGGACTTCACATGCGTATCTTCTTTCCCAAAAAATTTAAATTCGAATCCGGTTGATATAGCCGAGAAAAAAAAACAATGAAATATTCCAAATTCACAAATTATATTTTTACACCGATCGTTATATCTTCTTTTGGACACATGCCAAGCGGAACCTTAAAATTCTTAAAAAATATTGGCGATAAGATAATAGCCCTTACATCAGAACCAAAAGAATATTATTTTTTAAGACAAAACCTACAAATCATTATTTTTAAATATAATTATACATGTTTTTTGAAAACTTGTAGTCCCACCTCCGTTTTTATATAATTTTTTTTTTTATTTTATCCTATATTTGATATGTTAATTATAATATTATTTTATTTGACATTATATTCAGTTTAAATAAAATGTTTTTACATAAAATCAATATTAAAATGCCGAGATATCTGTAGAGTAGTGTATATACGTATTTTTTTTAATAATAAGCAATTAAAAATATTTATGTCATAAAATGCGCCTATTTACGCCGATTTTTTTGACATCGGCTAAAAATCGGAGCGCCGCCGGCCGTCGATAAAATTTTTTGGAAATTGCGCCAGCTGCCGATAATTTCGTCGGCGCACGGGTACCTCGTTCTTTTCTTAAGATATTTAATTATAAAAATTTTCAATTATAGACTCATTTCCCCTAGAAAATTTAGAGTTGAAAAAATTAATTTTTCATATAGAAATATTATAATTCTCCCCCCCCCCCCCGTATTTAATAGGCAAAAATGTCATTTTTTTGTTCAATGCTTACTTTTTATTATACTATACATACTTGATTATAATATATTATTTGAAAGCATCATTTCGAAAGTCAACCATTCCATAAATGGGTAGATAAACCTTACATACCAAATATTAAATATAGTTTTTTCGAAGAAAAATTATATCTTAATAATGATATCGAAGTTATCATTTTATTAAAATAAAAATTAGAACCTTCCAGTTTTGTTTCCCAATAATAAATGCCGGGTAAAATTATGGTCATTTTTAAAAGGTTTCACTTTATTAAACTTTATTACAATAAAATGAAATATTTAAAAATATTATCTATTTATTAAAATAATTTATTAATTTTGATTTTATTTACAAAATGAAAAATTAAATTATTGTGTTTATTTTTCATTCTCAATTCGTAGAATTTTTATTATTTTTTTTTTAAATTTCCCCGAGTTATGTTTATTTAAAATTCCTAAATTTGTTTTAATTTATTATATTAAAAATTAAAATAATCTTTACTTAAAATCAATTTCAATATGAATAAATCTTTGATAATTTTCCTCCTGCTTGCTCTGATTTTCTGCGAATCACATGGTAAATATAATAATTATAACAATTTAATTATTTATCTCTATTATATTATAAATATTTTTTATCTTAATTCTATTTTATTTTTATTTAGATGCTAAATTAATATTTAAAACTTTACATGACAAATATATGAGAAGATAAATTTAATGACAAATATAAGAGAAGATAAATTTATTTTAATAGGGTTTTTTTTCTTTTCAGAGTAATAATAAATTCATCAAATTTTTTATAAGATTGAATGATTAAATTTATGAAATGTTAATTAATGAGCGAAAAATAGGTTAAAAGAAAAGTTCCATAAAATAAATTCCAATTTTTATGATTAATTTCAAACGTCAAACTTAAAGTCGTTTAATATTATAAACATCAATAGAATGGTTAGTGTAAATTATTATTAGTTCAAGAATTAATCAGAATATTCCAAACATAAATATTTTGCATAAGTTGAAATATATTCCTGTAAAATCAGATTTTTAAAATTTAAAAACGCCCTCAAAAAATGATTACAAGTTAAAAAAAATAAACACAATGACGAATAAAAACACATAGACCAACATTTTTTAAATATTATATCTTTTTATTTTTACAAAAATAAAATCATCTTAGCTACTGGGAGAGGTAAATAATATTAATTTTATAATATAAATTTATAAAAGTAAACGAATTCAATTCTAAACTTAGAAAAATTTGTAAAACATGTAAAACCAAATAATTATTTAATTTTAACCTGCCAATGTTAGAATAGTTTCTGCCCCTTTTTATATACGATTGAATAAAAATACTAATATATAAGGTTTCCTCAAACTTAAATATTTTTTGATATAATTTCTATTTCTTGTAATTATAAAATATAATGCAATAATTAAAATTTTTAATCAGAATATATCTTAAATTAATGTTTATTTTCAACTTTTTAAGATCATTTGTCATTTATTATATAGAATAGAATAAAATTAATTTTAATTCAAATTTATTGGATAGATGATAGTTCATAAACGTTAAATAAAAATTTTTTTCCAAAATTGGCAAAACACCATAATAAAAAATAAAAAAATTTTCTTTTTTTTACAAAAAAATAAAAACATTTTGGATAAAAAAAGTAAATAATATTAATTACATATAATTTGTTAAATAAATAGTACCCTTAAATAAGAAATTATTTTTCAAAATTGGCAAGTCGACAGAACAAATAATATAAAATTTTATTTTATTTACGAATATAAAAATATTTTTGATAAAAAAAGAATATATTAATTATATATTTGTGAATTTATTCTAACTTTGAACCAGATATCTACAAGACCCTTGATTTCTTGATCAATTCAGGACCAGGGTCACATTAAAAATTGTTTGTAGGCCTAGATCCGGCCCGACCCTTATTAAAAGAATTCCCAAACCCGCCATAAGTTAAATATTTTTCCCTAGTCCTTCAAATAATTTTATATAAAATTTTGCTGAAATATACTAATAAGTAATTGCCTAATATTAATAAGAAATAAGTTATTTTATATGAAAACCTATACTTCAGTGTAATTAAGCAATCTATTTGTTTGCAAATTGAAATATATTATTATTAGAATAAAATTACAAATTTATTTAAGTTAGTAGCTGTTTTGGACAAACAAAACAGATGATTAGATTGAAAGAACCAGTGTGCTTTCAACATACAGCAGTAGAAGAAATTAATATTGTTATATTTGTCTTATTAAATAGTCTTAAAATAAGTTAAATTTAAAATTTAAAAAATATAAGCTCAAGTTCGGTCCAGGTCAATAAATTTTCTTTTTCAAGGCTCCTCCCAGATCTGCTAGAAAATTTAAGGGATTAAAAATATTTTTTAATAAAATAGAAAGAATAAAAAATTTATAATTACAAATTATTTGGATTAAATATACTATTAGCCATAGAATAATGAGTAGTTTAATAACTTGTAGGAGGGATAGTAGTGGCTTAGAAAAGGTCCGAAAAATTTTTTTAAAAATTTTTTTCTTATTGCAAATAATTTTATTTAAAAAATGGTTTTAATTTATAAATAAAATAATATACGATATGAAAATGAAAATGATATAAATTTAAAAAACAAATAAGAATTTTTAATTTTAAATGATATGGTTTTATATATTAAAAATTATATGTAAAATATTAATTAACAATAAAAATTATATATTTTCTCGCATAGTTAGATATTTATAAATTTAATAATAAAATTTATATTGTTACGCTAATTAAATTTTATACTAATTAAATAGTTTTAAAAATTTTAATTAATTTTTTATAATTTTAAAATAATAGAAAAATCATTTAATTTGGTAAATATAATGAGAAAATTATGATCGCTGTTTGGGATTAAAAATTTTAAACCTAGAGTAGTTTCTAGATAGTCCAATCTCTTAAATATTGATGCATCTACGATTGAGGATTTTCATAAGATAAATATTTTTATTCCCTTTTTTGATACATTTTTATTTCTATAAAAGGAAAGATTTATTAATCAAAATTTTATTTTAAACAGCTATTTTCTTTGCCTGTTGAGTCTAAGTACACTTGAAACGCGAAAGGATATTAAGAAAATCTCAGAGATTTATTCTCAGGATCGTATGATAAATTTTCTGATGTGGAATTTTGGTATAAAAATTTTGACAGAATAGAGTATTCTTTGAGACCAAAGTGCGCTTCGCAGGACCTTTCCATGTATAATTGCACTTTAGATTCCCTGCCTAATATTAAAACATTGCTTGTTTCTTAGCTACTTCACAATGATAGGTCTTTTTCAACTTTGAAAAGGTTAAAAACCTATTTTAGAAATAACACCGGTGAAAGCCATTTAAATGCATTCGCAATATTAAATATTTATAAGGAGATTATTCTATATAAAAATTTGATTCTTGATGAATTAGTTAAATCTCAGAGAAAAGTAGACCTCTCCTTATACAATTTAAATAAAATTGGTTTATTTTTTTTTAAAATTTTCACAATTTTAAGTATAATATTAAAATTATTTTAATTCAATTCAAATATAATACTTATAATTTTAATAAAAACACAAATTCTTTTTGAAAATAATCCATAATAGGTAATCACATGAAGACTATTCCATATATGCACTGCATCTAGCAATATAAATCATTTAAAAAAGTTTAAACAAAATCAAATTTAATAAATTTATAATTAAATTTAAAAAAATATATTAAAAATAATATATAAACTATTTGAAAATTAAAATCTATATAAAAAATGTATAATAAAAAAAAAATAATAATAATTAGTATAGTAAATTGCATGTTGGGTGGGAGGAGGTCAAGAAAGAGAGCCGTGGATGGTAATTCAGTTAGATTTGCATATATCAATAGATATGCGCTGTCTGAGATAGAAGCCTTCCTGTGGGTCACCAGTGATGGCGCGGATTTTTTTACCAAGAGATTTGAAGAAGATTAGGGCATGATTGCCAAAAAACCAGTTGTGTCGGATACAATTGGTATGAGATTGCAATTAGTTAGGGAAGTGTATTTATTAATTTTAAGGTTTTCAGCACGCACGAATGAGTTGTTATTAAAGGAGGGAGCAAATCGATTATTATAATATGATCTTGGTCAACAAATTTTTATATTCATAACGTAATTATAATGAATTTTTAGTCATAATATTTATATATTAAATTTTTAATAAAAATATTGCATTTGCACTAAGAATTAGTGATCTGCATCAGGGCCTAATTGTTCAAGCCCGGCCCTTCCCGAAATTATTTTAAAAAATTTTGCCGGCCCGAAACAAAATTTTTTTTAAAAAAGTTTTGTCTGCCTGGCCCTAATTTATTTAAATATAAAATTAATTTTTATAATTAATCAAAATAAGAGTTATATGTTATATGGCGTCTTGTTTTTATAAATAAAATCAAATATTTTTATTTAGCATAAAAAATTTAACATAAATTGATATATTTAGATATATTTTAAAAAAAATCCAATGTCCGACCCAACCCGGCCCGAATTTTCCCAGCCCGATCTCGATTTTCTACTTTTACTGATCTCTAATAAGAATTATATAGGTTTTATTATTATACTCACTTGTATTAATTATATTATAATTGTTAAATTAGATTTTTTTTTAAATACCGCACAATAATTGCTCATTTTATTGTAATTCTATTTTTTTTAAATATAGTTATTTAGAATAAATTTTTAATATAATCTGTATATAATATATACATTTTGAAATTTATTTTATTGTATAAAAATAATAAATAAAATCTATAATGAAATTCTCTGCAAAATTTTGTTATATGCAAAATTTAATTAAAATAATTATTTTTAACATAGAATAAGATATATTGAGTGATCATAAAAATTGGGAGGTTTGTGGGGCGATTTTATTCTTCTTTCTACACCGAATGGATAGAATTAATTTGCATTTGACTAAACATTGATAAAATTTTCAGAATAATGCTTTCAGTCGCAATCATATATTTGACAAATTTTTTTACTAATATTTTTTTCATTTATACTGGCTACTATAGTGGTTAGACACCAATAAAGCACAAAATTAGCAAATTTTTAAAATGCGGTTTGGGGGCGAAGCCCTAAAAAAATTTCAAACCCCCCCCCCCCTCACATGGATCAAGGCTAAGCCACTGTAGGAGAGGAAATATTCTCGTCACCAAATCGATATTTTAGTTTTATATTATATTTTTTTATTTTTCAAATAAAATAATTTTAAAAATTTTTATAAAGTTTTTAATTCTTTTTATTCTTTTATCACATTTTACTGAGACATGCAATAATTAGGTTAATGATGCTTACTACCAAGTGAATGTATGGAAATATTCTAAATACCAATATAATTTGCTAAATACCGACCAAAATTTATTAAAATGTAATAAGACTTATTATTTAATATATTAATATGGAATCACGTGGTCGAGTCCGGCTTCCTATATATCATACCCCCAAGGATGGAACCACCAAGTTAGAATAAGAAAAAAAACATAATTATTATCGGGATTCGAACCCGTAACCATGGGATGAGTAAGCGAACTCTAACCGACTAGGCCATAGAGGCTTTCCAAAATTTACGATTTTTCAAATATATATTATAAATATATTTGGTAGTGCCTATCCAAATGAAAATAAACAAAATTCAAATTTGATAGATGGTACCTTAAAGTACCAAGCATCATTAACCCAATAATTAACAATAAGATAGAAATATATACATAGAATTTTATTTTGATGTTATAATTTTACATTGTAAATGGAGGATAAATAAGGGAGAATAGGAAAATTTTTTATAAATATAAATTTTTTTTGTCTTTAAGTCGAATCCTATTTCCTTTAAAATTGAAAAATTGAAATTTAGAAATTAGTTGATATCCTTTTTTAGAAACAGACTTTAATAAAAAAGTGTCTTCTTGTTAATTTAATTAGAATAAATGGACAGTCTGTTTTTGTTCAAAAAAAATCCATATATTTTTTTTAAAGTTATGATTAACTTTGAATTTACAACACTAATTCACAGCAAATACAAAAAAACATTTTCGACATTCCAATTCTTTATGATGTAATCTCTGCCAATTAATTATATTAGGAAGTTTAAAAATCACGAGTAAAAAATGTAGAAAATAATGGAAAAAAATTGTCGATTTTTGTTTTAATGACCTCTTAAAGTTTCATAACCCACTACACATTTCCAATTATAGGATTTGGTCTACAATTTCTTTATCTATTTGACTATATAATAGATGAGGCTTCCTCCTTATGGCATAATGCATCTGAAAGTATTCTTCGCACTTTAACAAAGCAAAAATTGATTGCCGTACCGTTAATTAAACTTACATCAATTTGCAATTTGTTGACCATTCTTCTTTTACTGCTATTAACATCAGGTCACTAAATTTTAAAGGCAATCCCTTCTAAAAACGGTTGCCTTGAACTCAATCACTAGGAATTTAGTTTTGGTGTTACAAACCCTGATTAAAAATTTTGGAGCTTGATGTCGCTCACGCGAGATATTTAATTACTTTAAAAATGCAACATTTTATTTTTAGAATACGATAAAATATTAAGACGTAACTGTAGCACGTTTTTTGTTGGATGGTTCTCTCCGATAAAGAATTCTATCTTCAACTTTAAACAATTCAAACATTATGAGCTTTCTAGGGGAAAAGAAAATATAAACGTTTTAACTTCTTCATATTTAATAATCAGAGGCTAAGTATAAAACTATGCCTAAAACTTTTATAAAACATTTTAGTAATTCTTAACTGTTGAAAGATTTTTTTATATTTTCATAAAAATATGCACTTTTTGTACATATTTTATATTTCGTTTTAATTTCTCAACAAGCAATACATAAGTCATTATAATTGTAGGGAATTAGCTTGGAAATGTGGTAGTATTGATTGGTGAATCTTTGAATTGGGAGAATTGGGTTCAATTTGATATTATAGAATTAACCAGGTTGATAGAGATGTTATTTTAAAAACTAATTTGCAAAATAAATATTATTCGCCAATAAAATGGTCTAAAAAATAACCTTCTTTTTCTATTTTATCTAACAGTCATGAATAATGTGTGTGAAGGTACATTATATCAATTTTTATATATGACAAAATTTTGTGAGATATGGTTTTTATTAAAATTTCAATATCAAAAAAATTATAAAAAGTTAAAAGTCAAAAAAAAATACAAAGTAATTAAATATATCTTCTTGAGAAAATAACTGATAAAAATATATTCTTTTTGATTGACATTTTATAAAATATATGTAAAAATATATATCATAATAGTACAAAACTACAACAAAAATATCCCCTCAGACCAATTAAAATATAAGACTTTTAAAATCAATTGAATATAATATAAAATTAACGCCTCAGAACAGTAAAAATATAAACATTTATATATAATTCATCACAAAAATAATCATATCATATTTTTTTAAATTTTTTGACATAATAAGAATATTAATGAAAATTTGTGTTTGAGACCGGGTTTAAAATTGCAATTTCCAAAATTATAATTATATATACAGTGACGTTATATATTTTCTAAATTTTAGTTCGGAAATTTTATGATGCAGGTATGCATTAGAATATTTTGAAAATTTTTTTTTCCTAAATATATTTTTAATGTTTATTATTATTTAAATATATGATCTAAATAACTAAATTTATTAAATTATCTAAAAGTAAATAAATTAGGATCCATCATAGTTGATTTATATAAAAAATAAAATAAACAAAATATATATACTTAGTTGTATATCATCTTTAGCAAATAAAAATAAGATAGATAGAAATTAATTCTAATAATAATGAAATAATAAATACATTAAGATAATATTATTAGGTTTAAATTTATAAATATAATATTGAGTAAAAGATGTCAAAAATAAAGGTTTGAATATCCTTCATCCTTGATTAAAAATATTATGTCTTTTGTATATTTTGATCGCTACTCAAATTATTCCTTTTTATTTCCATTAATTATTGTCTAAATGTTATTGATAGGGTATTAGATTATTTAAAATAATATTTGGTTATAATGGGTGAAGGTTATTTAATCCCTTCTCCTATTTATAATTTATTACATTGTTTTGTAATTTTATTTCTTCATTATAAATATATGTATTGATGCTAACAGGTAGCTTAATAAGTTAGACAAAATATTTGTTTTCAAACAGGGGGCTAAAAATAAGAGTCGAAATTTAATATATTTTTATTTACTAAAATTAAAACAATAATATAGACAAAATATTATTTCGAATTTAAATTTTAATCAAAAGCATAATAGTTTAGAATAAATATATAATTTTTTTTTAAAATATTTTACGAATCCCCATGTTCAGAGAGATTCGAAATAATTTTTAAATATTAAAAAATTAAATATTCCTATCCCGACAGTGTTAAATGTAAGGGGGCCTAACCATTTATTCAGAATAATTTATCTTTTAACAAAATAAAATTTTCTAAATAATTCAAGTTTTATTTTCATTTCAAAACAAAAAACAATAGCTTAATATTTTCTTCACAATGTCATTTATTCTTTATAGTTTGTAAATTCGTAAATCTCTAAAATAAATAAAATTAAAATAACTTTAAAAATTGGACCAGAGTGTTGATTCATAGCTTTAACCAACTCCCTCCAAATTGGCCTAACTAACTTTTTATATTAAAAGATAGCATCTGTCTTCCAGTTAAGGTCAAACTTAGAGATATATGTTCAAAATTTTTAAGTTAAGAGTTGGCTTTGCCATTTTAGAGTGGAACAGAATTAGGTGATTTAAACACTTTAGTTTTTTTATAATAGTAATTAACATATTAACTAATTAAAATTTATATTTAGGGAGCATCCGTTCATCAAACAAGAAAATCAAAATAAAATGCATAGATATGCTACTGAAATATTGCGAATTAAGCACAAATTTTGAATTGAAAGAATATAAAAATGAAAAATTAATAGAAATTCTAGGTATGCTATATTCAATAATAAATTATGTTTCCTTTTTTTAAAAGTTTGAAAAAAACTTATTTTCTTTAGAGGAAATTAGTTTTATTTTGTATTTTCAAATATATAAATAAAAAAATTTTTTTTTTTCTAAGATACAAATAATGTAGAGGAAAATAATAAACTAAACAGACTTTTTGGGAAAAAAATTCGCAATCCGCTAGAAAGACTACGAATTTATTTCCGCTATTGCAAGGATTATGAGAAAGAAACTGATGAGAGCAAAAAAGAAATTTTAAGAAAATATTTGAAAAAGAATAACCTTACATTATTAGCGGGGTCCTCTTCTGAATTTACCAAAATGGAAATATTAAAGCGAATAGAGAATCTATTCACAGTTACGGGTATTTTACCAATTACAATCTATTTCCAAGAAAATATTATGGGAAAGAAGGAGGTAATCTGGTTAGAATATTTATCTTATGCTTCCTACCTAATAATTAAAGACCTAAATAAGATATATACTCAATTGGGCGGAAGTGAAACTAGAGGCGAGAATATGAAAAAGATTGCAAGGGATTATGATCAAGTATTCTTTACTATATTTTTATAAATTTAATGTGATTTATAATATATTCCATTCATTGAGATAGACAGGACTTTCCTAAAACTTAGGTCATTCATAAGAAATGTTATTAAACTGCTCGATCATTAAAAACGGATAACCCAATATTTTAGCCAAAATATTTATGAGATGGAAGGTTTGGACATCTATTAACAAAATCTCTAGGCGAGATATTATTTTGGCTAAAATTCTAATTTAAAATCGGCGAAATATAGCTGTTTAACAAACTCATGCACATATATTTATTAAATTTTTTGGAGTGAGTTCTTGTACATCCCAAATTAAGTTATATATGTTTTGCGTTTTTTCCTTCAGATATTGTATTTTAAATTGGAATCTCAAATATGTTAAATAGTTTGTATTTTTTTTAAATTTTGTTAAAAAGAATATTATCGATTTAACAGGATTAAAATGAACATAAAAAATGGGAAAAAAAGAGCGAAAAAAAAACAAAACACAAAATTTAAATATTATTATGAAATTTCTAAATAGAGTAAAATAAAAATAAATTAAGAAAAAATTTAAAGTAAAATATTTGTAGATTATATATAAATTTGTTCTAATAAATTTTTATTAAATCTATTCCTAGCGTTAGAGGTCTGTCCGAAGCCCGACCCGATCCGAAAAATAAATATTAAACAAATATCTTTTGTTTCACAAAAAAATGTCAATTATAATTGATATTGATACCTCTTTTTTATTTTTTCTCTTTAAAGCAATTATATTATCTTAAATCACCATAATATTTAATTTTGAAAACCTCTACCCGTTGCATTGTAAGAAAAATAGTATTATACAAATAGTTATTATACCTATATTTTTTAAAAAAATGATAATTAAAAGTTACGAAGTCATATAATCAAGAATAGCACAGACGAACAGATACTCTATGTGAATGCTTCTGGAACACTTAAAATCGTATATTATATATTAATTGCATTTTACCATTAATTAAAATTGTATTTTTAAAATTCAATATTAAAAGAGTTTATAATCTTGGCTTTCTTCAGTTCTCCAAGGTTAGGATAATCCTTCCAACCATTAACTAGTTTCCTATTTCCCATGTTTCAATGTGCATTTGAAAAACTTTGTTTGTATCTCGATCAAACTAACCTTCAACTACTCAGAAACGCAAAAAATTGTAACGACCATGAATGCCTGGACGCGATACCGAATAGGAAAAAGAAAATGTTATTCACAAACGATTAGTTTCAAATTGTCATAAGTCATAGGCTATGATATCATATCCCGTCTTTTGATATTTGTACTGCCAACAATTTGATTTATTTTCTAAGCATATTTTCTTTTGCCTCAAAGTCAATGACCGTTTAAAATAGGTTGATCGGCAAATCTTTGATTTCCACAGTTATCTCTATTAATTTTGTGCCTCGGTTTTTAGTTTGGTAAGCGTCCCGATGGCATGTCTTTAACATTTAGGCACAGTGGCAAAAGACTTTACTAGGACGTATAATGTGTCACCTCATTTCCCGCTAATAGAATCTATAATCTATTGGAACTCCAAGAAATTAAAAAAATACAATTAATAAATATAGGTCCCTCTTAAATTAATTATTTTTTAGCGAACTCCGGTTCCCAATCCCTAAAATTTCAATTGGATAAAAAACTTTAATAAGGACGGTTAAAACGAATTCCTTCTTAAAAAAACTCAAATTAAAATCCGAAAAAGATCCCTCTTACCCTATATTCATAGATAACGCGAATTCGCTGCAAAGCATATGAAATATAATAATTTTATATAAATTTTTGTATACTTCGACGCGAATTCGCCCTAACTGTGAATGTAGGGTTAGTTTCTTCTCCCCTCCCTTATATTATACATTATTTATTATAATAAATATTTTGCCATTCTTGATTTTTACATTTTGTTAACATTTAAAACTTATGTTTTATAAGATAATATGAACCTTTTTTTTAAATAATTAGAATATAAATTTAAGAATATGAATTATAAATCATTTGCGCTACATATAGCAAGGTGATAAAGATTATTATAATTTATGTATTCATATAAAATCTCTTTTTTTAAAATAATATATGAAATGGGCAGCTTATTTTAGAATATGAGTGTGTGGCGTATCTTTTATCATAAAAGTAGTTTTTTTTTATTATATATTTCTTATATTAAATATTTATATAATAATTTTCTTAGTTCTTTCCATATTTTTCATTTTATCTCGAGTCTTGGTATAAATTTTCTTATTCTAACGGATATTTTTTTAACTACTGTTTACTAAATATTAGAAACAAATGTACACTAGTTAAGCATTATATATTTGCCCTAAGCTTTGGACCCATTTTGATACACTTTCCTTGTGATTCAGCAGATGGATTGAATTTATTTTGAGTTAAATAGCTATTATAGTTTTCTTACTGAAGCTCTAAATTTTTCTTTTTCTTATAATCGGTTTTTCTTTTTCGACCAAACAGGTCTAAATGGTAAAATTTACTAAATATGCCCTTTTAGTATAAGTTTTATAATTGTAGCTTCCAGGAGCTTGGCTGATATCACGCTTCGCAATATATTTGGATATAATTTGATTACTATTTTGTGTTTGACAAAATTGGTGATAGAATTATTTATAAGACACTTATATTAACTCAAACATGATCTCAAATATTTTTATATCTAAGCTCTGGCATTAACTTTTTCTTTTATTTTATTATTTAACCTTTTTCTTATTTAAACCATCTCAAACAGATCAAAGCAGTAAAATATACTAATTATGCTCTACTTAATATTTTGGCATAATCGAAATATGTGTTTCCAAAAGGTCTTCCATCATATGATTTAAAATTTCATATTGGTAAAATAAACATAAGACATTTTCTTAAATGCTAATTTTTACTATAGAGACATAAGCAAAAAAATAACTTTAAATATTATGAAAATTTAACCTCATCTGTTAATCTTATAACGTCTCAAATTTTTATATATGATATAATTCTGGTCTCTTAAATATTACTTTTTTTCATCTGAAGTTAAATATGCAGAACTATCAGAATATGATTTTTGTTGGGCAAGGATAGTTGATTAAATGACCGATCACTTTTATTATTAAAACAAATTATTTAATGGAATAGACTAATCTTACACAACTCATAGAAAATCTTGCCAAAGACGCTAATATGATATTGTCTAAAAACACGCACATAACGATTCAAAAGTCATTTATTGAAAACTTCAACAAGTTCACTGAGAAATTCTCTAATTCCATTGAAGATCTTATGTAAGTAATTTTAAAAAATATCGTTTATTCAGTCAAATGTAGTGACACCTATTATAGGACCAGGCTTAAAATATTTAGAAAATTTTATACGAGCCTGTCTAGTCTCAAAATTTTTAAATAATTTTAAAATCCCTTGGGGGACGATTTTTAAATACATGAATTTAAATTTACATTGATAAATTAGTTGGAAAATAATATAATGAAGTGTTTAATATTTTCTTACTGGTCATTCAATTATCGATTAAACCAGGGGCTTAGCTAGCCCGCCCCTCATACTCCCAATTTGCGGGTCTTCGGCCTGGTTTTATATTAATATATTATTTTTATAATTTACTAACTCTAAATAATTATTCTGAATGTCATATAAAAATAATAATACAAGACATTTCTAAAAATAATTTAAAACTACATAATATAATATAATTCTTAGCAACTTACATTGACAAAAGGTCATAAAATTAATATAACTCCCTATTACCATTTTAGACAATGTTTTATAGAATGGTCTAATATGAAAAAATTGATAGACCTTACCAAATCTACAATTCTTGAAGAAGAGAATATAAACGATTAATCCAAATCATAAAACTATATGATGGCTAGAGCTTCCTCTTAGATGACATGATGGAAGCTAGATAAGTAAGAGAAAATTATTGTGTGATATTAAATTTCTAAAAGATTATCTTCCATTTTCAATGTTTTATTATCTAAAATATGCGATCATATGCTCTCAGCAACTCTAGTAAAAATCTTAAATTACATAGCCACACAAATAGTAGATGCTGGTTAATTTGCAGTTCTATCCATGACACTCACGAGGGTAACCCATCACAATTTATTCTGTTAGATAAATTGATAAAACATTAAACCTTAAGAAGAAATTATGCAAATATATTGGCCTTGAGTTATTTACACGGCAAGGATGCCATATTAGAAATGAAACATTTTGTAACTACAAAATAAGAACCAGAGTGATATCATGAAAGCAATTAAGATTTTATATATTATTGTCACCATCTCTAGTTGGTATAGTATATCTTAAAATAATGGTAGTTTGTAATAATATCAAAAATATATTTGTATTAAAGATTTAACCAATCTATTTTTCGAAGAAGAAAAATATAGCTTTTCTAAAAACACGTAAAAAAGAGAAGAAAAGATATCTAATTTATTACATCTATTGTGAGATGAATATTAATACGTTTAATTTTAATATATTAAATAAATAGATGGAGTTAAATATTTGTAATTAAATTGTTACTTATATTTATTATCAAAAGCATTTATTAGTAAAATTTTAAAAATATTAACTAATATATTATATAACTCAGGTCTGTATAAGTGGCATTTTATCTAATATTTTGTAAAAAATATATAATAGAGGATTATTAACTATATGTCTATTTTTATAAATAAATCTCTTATACTTATTTGGATTTGGACCTTAAAATAATTTTAGGAAGAGACATGATAATTAAATTTAAAAATCAATAATATAGTTGATTAGTGATTTTGAACTCGGCTAAAATATTTAATTATTAATTTTCATTTAATAAATGATTATATTTATTAGGGCTATATAATATTAAATAATTAAAGTCAATTAAGCTTCAACTGGTAAAGCTAAATTAATATTTAGTGAGTGATACTGTTATATTTTTAACACATTTGATTGCAAGCTGACATAGTATAATTTATATGAAATAATCTAATCTAATCTAATAATATACAAAATATATTATAGATTATATAAAATATATAAAACATAATCTAATTATATGAATATAAATTTAATATATTTAAAAAATGTTTGAAAAATATATAATAATACTATTAAAAAAAAAGAACGGAGATGGTGTGACGCAGGGAAACAAAAATGAAAAAGGGACTTAAGCGTTGTCTATGATAGCTCTTTGGCTAGAAGGCTACCATAGAAACTGATATAATTAGCTTTGTGAATCGCTATGGATAATCGACGAAGAAAAAAACCCTCTCGGGGTTCTTCTGAGAGTTTGCTGATTTGTGATCCTAATTTTTTGAAAAATGCTAAGGCGAGTTTGCCGAAGGTGCCAAGAGTGGTTGATATGATTGGGATGAAGCAATGATCGTTTATTATTTCTGTGTATTTAGAAATTTTAAGTTGTTCCTTCTGGTCAAGGATGTTGATGGCGTGGTTGGATGGGGCCAAGGGGTCAATACAGGAATAGTCCCATACCTAATTAAAATACTATTCATTTAATAAAATTAAGATAGTCTTATTAATAAATAAAATTAAATCTATATATTACTCAATAGAATTATAAAAGAAATTAAGGGCAATTAAAAAATTTATTTTTAGCTCAAGGAGATGTTAAGGAGCCATTAAAAAAAATTTTTTTTGCTTCAAAGGGCTATTCAAATTTTTCAGGGGGCTCGAGCACCTGCGCGCCCTCCCCCCTAGCGACGCCACTGGATTCAACCGGTAAGAAAATACAGATAATTTTATACAAAATAACAAATTTTTTTTTTTAAAAATTCCTGGCCCGAAAATTATTTTTAGGAGAATAAAAATTTTAATAGAAAAACATTTTTAATAGCGGATCGAGCCTGAAAATAATTTTTTTTTCAAATCCGGACCGGCCTTAAAATGTTCACTTCTATAGTTTTTAAGTATTTATTATTATAAATTAAATTTAAAAAACTGTATAAAAAGTTTTTTCCCTTAAAATTATAACTAAAAATATTAACTAAATAATTTCGAAAAATATATTTTTAAAATATTATATGGCCAAATATCTTTCTATGTTTATTTATGTTGATACATTTCCATTTCTTCTTATTATTATTATTTTAAAAATAATTTGAATTTTTTAAATATACTCTAGTTGATGTTTACAAAATATATATAATAATTTGAGGATATGCAAAAATAATTTCTTAGAATTTGTACACACAATTTTATTAGTTTTTACCATTCACATTTAAAATTTTTCTATTTTAGAGACCTTCATAATTTTTTTGTGATAATAACTGTGCATAAACTGAATTTGCTACTAAAAGATGTAAAATTAGAAAAAGAATTATTCAACGGATATTCCCACCTAGATTCTAATGATATTCAAAGGAAATGTCTAAATAATTTATTATCAGTTAATGATAGAATCTTGGATCCTTTATTCCTTATAAAGCTAAACAATAAAACGATAAATACGGTACATGATTATACATATTTATTCATATCTTATTAAGCTAACTTCCATACTCAATCTTTTTTCCTAAATGTTATGCAAAATATAATTTTCTATAAAATATACAAATAAATTATATTAAATTTACTGTTCTTCATATATTTAATTTCCCTTTGAAACATATTTAATATTGCCAAGCATATTCAAAATAAAGTAATTTAAGGAACCCAATAGTAATATTATATAAAAAGATCATAAGATTATGAATTAAAAATACTAGGACTGGAGAATAAATATATGGTAAAAATGTAACTTAAAGAATATTAATTTTTAAAAAATTTCGATCATCTTAAATTTAAAATGATGGATCCTAAAAGTTAATTATATGAGTAAAGTGGCGTCAAAAGAAATTGACTCATAGAGGATTTTAGTTAAATTTATTTTGAAGTGGGTTTTTTTACATATCATAACCATTAAGCTCACAAATCTAAAATATGTCATAAATCTATCAAATAAACTTTATCAAGCTTCTCTGGTCTTCCCTAATCTTATATTCTAAAGAAGATTTATATAATAAGTCTGAGCAATGTATATATAATTTATTTTTACATCTTTATATTTTAGTTTAAGACAATTGCGAAAGATATGCTAAAGCAAAAACAATGGTTAAAAAATATGCTTTTTATTGATACCAAAGTATAATAACAATAATATTTATGATAAATAATATTTTCTTATTTAATGAAGAAGTTGATTATAATTTAATAGCAGATAAGACTTAATGATGATTATCAACTTGTAATGAGTACCTTCATATGCTAAATCACCTCGTAATTATGACGTTACAGGGACTAAATGATAATTAAGCATTTGCTAACTAGCATATAGTTTTCATAATAAGTAGATAATCAAATATACCAAAATAATGGCATGCAATTTTCTCTTTTATTTTGGAAGTTTATTTAGTTTTTATAATTTTAGGAGCAAAATAAGGCATCACTTTAAAAAGGGGGAATAAAATATGAGACAACTTCATATATATTTTTAAAATTTTCTTAAGCATATATATTTTCTGATAAAATATTAACACGCTTAGCATTCCAAATAAGAGTTTCCTCATAATTATAACACGATTAAATTTTAATTAAAAAATTTTTTTTTGTAATTATAGCGTAAATTTTTGTAAGCTTTTCCCTTTTTAAATCTAGTTTTGGATTAAAATAAAAAATTAAATCCAATTTATAAAATATTTTTTAAAAAAAGTTAATAAAACAATTTGCTCCTTAGATTTCATTTAGAGTGCTTAACGTTGTATATAATACATTTTTTTTAAATATGTCAATACATCCTAATAGTATCTATACATTTTAATAATCATTTTTAGGCTGATTTAAAGTTGACTAGTTTAGATTCGATACAATTTCCAGAAGTTAAATATTTTTTTTATGCTTGTATTCTTTGAATTATTTATGTTTTATATTTTTTTTTATAAACATTATACACAATATATATAAAAGGCATTCTATAAACTAGGAAAAGACCATATTAAGAATAGTGTTATGTTGACTAAATTGAAAAGATATGAAGGATTTTATTCTGCACCTAATATGTATAATCTAGAATATGAGTTATAATCTCTATAAATTTTTTTTAGCTGGTTTGAATTATTTTTGAATCATCACTATTCAGGTTAATTAGTTTTCATAATTGGTTTTATTATTATTCATTTTTATCGCTTAATCAGATTTAGTTGAAACCAATGAACAAAAGTAAATAAATATCATATTATAATTTAATGTAAACTAGTATTGCAATAGGATATCATTTCTGCATTTGCAGTATCATGAAATTGCATTTATAAATATGAAAATAATAACATTTTAAGATTATTTTTATAAATTTATTTTGTTTAAACTTATTCACATGAGTAATATAATGTTACCATTTTTGATTATTTATAAAAATGGAGATAAAGAAGTAAAAAATATAAATTATTAGATAGGCAACGAGTTTGAAATCAACCATGAGTAAGTAGCTAGGGGTTGAAGAGAGGTTGGAAAAATGGGAGATATGTACAAAGGATTAATTTAGTTTAATGAAATTGTAGAAATTCTTTGACATAAATTTAATTAAGTTACTCATTTAACTATCTGATGGTTAGCCCTTAAATTATAACCAAAAAAATTTCACCTAATATAATGTTTAGGAATTTTTAATTTATACTAGGGGTTAAGTATTATCTAAAATGGAAAACTTGAATGACAAGTTTAAAATAAAAAGTTTCGTTTCATGGATATATTCAGAAAATTATATAAAGAAATACTTATTTTATTTATTTAAAGTGGCATTCCATGATTTTCTAGTTTATAATAGAAATTATTCGAAAGGATAATTTTATTTTATATAAAATGAGAGTCTTTGAGACCCTAGTGTAAGGCAGCTGCAATATATTCTAGTGCAATACTAGTTTACATTATATTATAATATTCTTTAGAATAAATATCATAGAATATGTTAAAAAGATCGACAATGTGCATAATAGGATAATGCATCTATCAGCCACCCATTAATGATTAAAATTTTTATAGTGGATAAAAATCTCAATTTTTTAAATTATGTTGATTAATGCTCAAATATGATATTCTAAAAAAACAGCCAAAAGAATAATCTTAAATAGAAAATCGAGCCTGGTTCAAACCTGCATCATTAACCATTAAGAGGTTTAAAAAAGATAAAATTTATGTATAATACTATTAGATAAAAAACAACAAAAATATTATTTATTTTTTTTTGTAATTTATAATATAAAAAAGAAAATGTTTATATATTATAAAAATCCATGAAATATTTAATATGAAGTGCAATTTGACATATTTGGCACATATATCTTGATTGTGTATGGTAATAACTGCATCTAAGTCTTTTCCCATTTATAATTTTGGATATATAAATAATATCCAGATGAATCAGTAGGGTTTTCACTCTGTGTGCTTTATTTTTTTTTCAATTTTTACTGATGTTGAAACGAGGTAGTTACTAGTTAGTAACATCTCGTCTAAATTTAAGCAATCTCTTTTTGTCATTTCAATTCACGAATTTCCAGATTTTCCACATATTTATCATGTTTGTTATAAGCAGTGATCATATTTGACTGATTTTATTTTAGAAGATATTTTCTGTTAATACATAGAAACATCAGAAAGCAAATAGATGGTGTGGCATGTCGATGCAACGGTCCCGAATTATCATTCTAAAGAACTATAAATATTTCATTTAATTTTTCGAAACTATAATCATAATATCCTCTTTCTTTTTCTACTACAGCATTTATAGATTCAACTGGGTGATACCGGATTCTATTATCCCAGTTCCAATTGTAAAATATATGACAAAAGTTTAAATGAAATAAAGATATTATCAAAATTTATGATAATTTGCTTTACATAATGCTTTAATAATTTAATATTTACATTTCCACCTAATTCATATATATAATTATTTTGGCTTTTTCCTTGATATATATCATATGAGAATAAATTGTCGGAAGAAGCCAATATACAAGATTTATATCCGATTCTAATTGGTTTATCTTTTATGAACATTTTTAAAGAATGTTTTCCTCGGATCATCTGTTCACTCTTGATAAATTTTTTGTTTAAAAATTTCGAATTGTTGAAATTTATTATTCAATTTATTAATATAATGACTTTATAAAATCTATAATGTATATCTATTTTAGTAATGTTTGCCAATTGATTATTATATTTCAAATTTCAAAATAGTAATTGGGTTATTGTTTTCCGGATTTTTGGCTAGAAATATAGGCCATCTTTTCTTGTGAGAGCGAATGATAACCAGTTAATTATAGAATTCCAATAAATCCCTTAATATATGAGATGTTTATAAATATATTAGGTCATTCATTTGTTTTGCATAAATATTACTTTGATCTACAATTAGGGTATAAAAGTCCTCGTTGAAAATTAAAGAAACCTGATGGACTTTTATAATGCAAATCATTTTCAAGTTTTATTATATCTGCCTTTTCTCCATTAAAAGGGCTTGTAGTATATAAAGCATCTGTTTTTCTTATTTTAAATTGCGAGAAATTAGTGAATAGCTTCTTGTAGAAGATGGTTCTAGAATGTCGTTATCAATTGAATTATGAATCTCTAATTCACCAGCTGTATCTGAAGGCAAAACTCCGTCATTTGTTCCGTCAAAATCTTCTTCATTACTAATTGTAGAGGAATTTGGTACCTCTTCAAAAAGTTGAGCAAGCACTAGTTCAATTGTTAAAAAACTATTCATTTAAAAATTTGAATTAAATATTAAATATTTACAAAAATTATTTTCGTAGAATTTTAATTTTTAAATTAGTCTTTGAATGAATTGACAAAACAGGAGTATAATAACAAAATAAAATAAAATGTTTACCAAGAAAGAGGTTACAAATAATTTTAAATATTTTTGAATAATTTTAAATATTTCTAATTTGCGAATAATTTCATATAATTTGATCGAGATAAAAAATTATGAAAGGAACAATATATTATTCGATTTAATCTCAGGGGTTTCAGAATATTTTTTTTAAAATTATTTTCAAAAGATCTTTTTTGAGGGCCTCACCCCCACTCCCTTAGTTACGGTACTGGTTTTAATTATAATATAAAAAATTATAATTTATTATGTTAAATTTGATTTATTTAAATTTTTATAATAATTTATACCTATTCTCATTAAACTTTTGGTCGATATGATCTCTTATATTTTTAAGTTATAATATAATAATATTCGAGAATTATCGTAACCTCAACTAAATCTAAATCATATTTTTGAAAAATATTGCATAAAATTGTTGTTTATGGTTCAGGTCATTCCTATATTTTTTAAAGGGCATTAAAATGAGTTCTTCTAGATCAAAAAAAAGCTCTAAAGCTTGATATAGAATAAATCATTTTGTCTAGTATGCTTCTTGGATTTTTTTTCTTCTTGTATACTATAAAAAATTCAGAAATAATTTTAATTAGCAAATTATTTCTCAACGCATATCTGAACATTTCATAATTTTAGAAATTTTAACTAATCATAAGTATTAGTGAAGATAAATTTATCCATTCAGTCCTTACGATTTTTAAAAATGTAAGAAAATCTACTTTAATTATTGCAGGAGGATGGTATCAATACACAAGGAATAAATATTTAAATTAATTTAAACTATAAATTAAAATAGTTTATAAATTATTTAAAATATAATACTTTGCCACAAATTAATATATTTTTTAAAAATTATTGTTATGGGGTAGTGAGTTATTCACCTCCCCCGATGGCTAAGCGCCTATTTAAGAAAAGGCATTTTTATAACAAAAGTGAAAATCTAAAGCTTGTATATAAATACATAGATAAAGACCTGCAATGGAAGAACTCCAATAAAATTTATGTTAAAAAACCCTATTTTTTAGGAATATATATGAATACAGTAGCCTATTTAGATAGGGGTTAGAGGGAAGAGGAATTGGTATTCCAAAAAATTTCCTTTTAGTTTTAATTTAATTCAATTAAAAAATGGTAATTTATCATTTTTTCTTATCAATATCCAATAATAGCTTAATTTAAAAATATGTATTAAAAAATTAAATTAAAACTATAAATGAAACAAATTTTAAGAATTTTAAGAATATTATATAATCTATTTCTTGCCTCCACCCCCTTTACACCGTAATCAAATTTATAGATACTTCACTGCCTTGATCGACTGATAGATTATGCCTAATTACACATATTGTCGTCATCATAATATATTAATAAATTTATTATCATAAATATTTTAGCAATATCATATTCATAATAGAGATAGCAATTACAATGCTAAATGACTTAAGTAAATTTTAATTTATATACAAATTTTTTTTTTAAATGGGAAAAATTTTTAAAAAATATCAAATAGTTTATAAAGGTGATAAAATATTATACTTTACAAATTATTAAATATCAACGTTCACAATTATTGGACTGCCACTCTATTTGAAAAATATTATTACAAAAAATTGCTTTTTAAATTATTGTTTTATAAAAATAATCCTATAATATAATTTATAATATCATCTATAACTAATTACCATTTATAAAAAATTTGATTAATCCATGTATTGTACAGTTATAGCGCTTTAAGATTCTAAATATTTCTATAAATTTGCTTTTAGACCGAATACAAGTTTAGTAGGTGTTATATAATCTAATAATGCCGATTTCCTTTACCCCACAAGAGTAAAGAGTTTTAAAAAAAATTATTTTTCTAGTTTTGCTGTTTAATCACTATTACAAAACCTATGAGAGTAGTTTAAAATTATTAATGAAAAAGTAGTTGTAGTTTATCAAATAAGTTGCTTAAAAATTTTGACTCTTTTCTTTTGATGAAAATTACGAGTATCAAATTTCATAATATTTCGAAAATTCTTTTAACATTAGTCTATAAGCATAAAATATCTATATATAGTCTAAACCAAAATAATTGTATTAATTTCAAAAGACTTTATTGCAGTTGTTTTTACCCACAAAGTCACTTTTTTCTCTCAAATTATTTTGTCAAGTTTTTTTTTAAAAGATTTAAACAAAATTTGTAGAATTGTATCCAAAAAAAGTATTGCATAAAAATCATAAAAATAATTCAAAAAAAAAATGAAAAAAATAAATAGAAATAATAAAAAATTTCTATAATTTCTCATAGAGTGCTTAGTTTTTAGCCATTATTTCTAACTCATTTTAACAGCTGGGAGTGAAATTAATTTTTAATAATGCTAGCCCATGAATTTTATTTATTGAATAAGAATTGACCACTAACTCTTCTACCTTTTTCAGTGCGGTAAATAACTCGCTATTATTAACAATTTTTTTTAATATTTGTCCTCCTATAATGAGCTGTTAACTTTTTTTTAACACTTATTAAAATTTTGAGAATGATTTGAATATCTGCATTGTATCGAAAAATGGGTGCATTTAATTATATTCAAATGTTGACAAATGAGTTAAGCAATAATTTAAAATATCTCTATGTTTTTGAATAGTATAACTTTAAATTTATAAGAAAGCTTGTCAGAATATTACATGTTTGAAGCATACATTTCTTTGAATAGCATCTTGTACTAATTTTTTATAATACATAACCCAGATGGTCCTTGATTATTATAAGATCCTTAATTCTAAATTTTATATTCTTAAATGTATTTATTTCAATATTTTGCCTTATTTATTTTTAATATATTTTCATTTTTAAATTCATTATTTAGTTCTTTATCCCAATTGTAACGAGGTTAAAAAATATTTGAATAAAAAAAATCGAATATAATCATCTATTTAGGCAAAGAAAAGTGATGATGTTCGAGATTATTCTCGCATTACAAACGCTCTTAACTTAGCCTATTTGGTAAAATTGATATTGAATTAATCAAAATTTATTAATAAATCTATTAAATTTTAAGTTTGAAAGTACCCAAGATATTGATCCTAATAAAGTTTGGCTTGAACCTTCTAAAGCGAAAATTTTAATTGAAGTAATTTATATTTATAAAAAATATCTTCTTAAAAAAATCTTTTAAAGCATTTTTGCAAGAAAAATACTATTATCCCATTCAATATTGAAGCAAAAAAGTAATGAGACATTTTTTTTAGCAAAATACTAATTTTTATGATTTGATAGAATAATCGAAGTATTATCAGCATCTTTTGCTGTTGCGAAAAAATATAAATGTATAAAAAGCTCTATGAATTTGAATAATTGTGAAAGACCTAATCAAGCAGAATTATATTCTCAAAGGGCAAGGGTATTATAAATTTCTATATTTAAATGGGCAATTTATTTCAAAAACTTTATTTATCAATAATAATCACACAGAAATTTGATTAAAAATATGTTTAAAAAAATAATTGTTTATAATTTCTAGTTGTATAGAAGAATGCCCCTTACTCTAAACCCTTCCCTTTAAAAAATATAACTTATCAATCCCAAACAATCCTTTTCTAATAATTAAATAAATACCAACAATGACATTACCAACTAGGGAAAACCACATTGTTTCATGTTTTACATTTATGTTCCCATCAAAATAATTTATAAATGTTTCATATTCATAAAAATAGTTCAAATCCCAATATTCTATGTTCTTTCCCAGCTGGCATCTTCTGATCTCTCCTTCTTCCCTCTTATGACATTTAGTATATTATATTAAATTTATTTCTTCTTTTTTTCAACAACTACAACAATGGGTTTATTTTATATATTTTTTTTTCTTTTTAGCTTTCACTTTTTCTGGTGGTATGTTCCTTCAACATCTCTCTCCACTTTATGTTATTCATACAATCTCTTTTATCTAATTTATACTTCTTTATATTGGCTCTAACTTTATGGCCCCATTAAAGTTATGGCCTTCCTCTTTTTCGTTTGCCCATCACTTCCAAACTCTCAACCTTATTTCATTTGTAGTTCATAGGCCTTTTCATTGTGTGCCCATAACACCTAAGTCTGTTTACGATTAACTTAGTCTTAATGGGCACTACCTTTAAACTATTTAGGATTTTTGTACTGCGCACTTTATCCTTTCTTGCCAGCAATCAATCTCAGCATTCTCATCTCCATAGTTTGTAGACTTCTCTCGTCTGATTCCTAGGTTGGCCATGTTTCCGAACTGTGTAGAATAGTTGGTTGTACTATGGATCTCTAAATTTTTCCCTTTAATTTGTGTGGAATTCTTTTGTCAAATAGCACTCCAGATAAAAATCTCCGCTTTTACCACCCTATATTAATTTTACTCTTTATCTTTTTTCTATTGTGCCGTTTGTTTGTATAGTGGAAATTGCCGATATCTGCCATTCATTTATATCAATACTTTCAGTTTCATCTCCTCCTATCACCATATACTCCGTCTTTTCTCTATTTACTTTTAGTCCGTGCTTTTCTAGGATATTTATCCAACTCACCAATCTTTCTTTCATTTCATCCTTGGATTCGGCAAATATCACAATATCATCTGCAAATATTATATTCCACGAGACTGTTTGAGGTATAGACTGTGATAATACATCTATTATTGTAATGAAGAGAAGTGGGCTGAGAGCCGACCCTTGATGAACCCCTTCGGCTATTGTGAAGCTTACTGAAATACCTGTTGTGCTACGGATTGTTGTATGGCCCATATAATATCCTGTATTATTCTTATATATTTTTCGGGAACTTTTTTATGGCGTAGCGCCCACCAGATAAGTTTTCTTAGGATTCTCTCGAAGGCCTTTTCTAGATCGAGAAAGACCATGTGTATCTTTTTTTCTTTTCCCTGTATTTTTCACTCATGCCTATTGCGTGGATAGCATCAGTTGTTGAACTTCCAGGCATAAAGGCAAACTGAGTCTCCTATTTCGATTATGTCTCTTAATCTTTTTTCTATTATTCTTTCGTATAGTTTTGGACAGTGTGCATTAATTTTATGCCCCTATAATTTTAACAATTGTGTGGATCCCCTTTATTTTTGAAGATAGGAACTAAATAGCTCTGCCTTCATTTTTGGGGAGCCTCTTCATTTCCAAGTATTTTATTGTACAGATTTTTGAAGAGAAGCTAGAGCTTTAAGGCTTTCTATTGGAATATCGTCTGGACCCTTAGCTTTTTTGTTTTTGTGACATGGGGAGTGTTCGTCTAGTTGTAGTATGTGGGGATTAAAGTTGAGAAGCTCCTGTGAATATTCTTTCAATCTATTCATTATTTCTTTTTCCTTTATTATCAATTTCCCATCTTTATTTTTGATTACCTTCGGAGCTCCGTTTATATACCTAGAGTTCTTTTCTCGCTGTTTGGCTAATCTGTATATTTTATTTTGCCCTTTTTTGGTATGTAGTTCTTAATACATGTCATTGTATGCCATAGATTTGGCCCTAGCCACCAAGCCTAGTGTCTATTAATCTGGATAAAAGGTCTCCAAATTTTTTCACTGCTTTGTGAGGAATCTATTGTTTCAATGTGTGCATTGATTGCAGAATCTGTCATTGTTTTTAATTTACCCCATTTGATGCTTGGTTCCAGTTTTGTCTTATTATGAGTGGATTTATTTGAGATGTGACTAGCTTGTGTTGCGTGGCGATATCCTCTCCTGAGATGACTTTGCAGTCTATTACATCTTTTAATCTTCTGCGAGAGATTAGCTTTCCTTGTACCACTTTCGTATGTTATTAAATGACTATCTTTTTTCCGTAGGTGTTGAGGCAAGGTCGAAGGCTTGCGCAAATTTCAGTATGTGCTCTCCTTCATCATTTCTTTCTCATATCCAAAACCTCAACATGCCTTTTGTAGCTATATCTTGCTTTTCCCACATACGCATTTAAGTCACCACCAATTATGACTAGGACATCCTAAAGGATTTACATTACAGCTTCATCAAGGATAGTTCTAAGGTCATCTTTCTCCTCTTCCTTGCTAGCATAGGATGTGTAGTTTTGATTGACCAATGCAGAGTTTAATCTTCATTAGTTGACTTGACTTCAACTACTGAGGAGTTGCCGACACCGTTCGTATTGCTAACAATTCCATTAGTACACATTATATTCATCTCCAATCATTAAAGTCTTCTGACCTTTTTCCATTTCGTCTTTTGTATGCACGCTTTATCAACTTTTCTCTTGTTCAACATTGATGCCAACTCTCTCGTCTTACCTTTAAGCGTCCTAATATTCAAACTTGCTAATCTTGTCTTCTTTGTTTTGACCTTTACTTTACTTTTCACAGCATGGAGTTCTACATCCTGCGCGTCGCTTGGAACTCCCTAGCTTTCATAAATATTTCCATTGTTTCCTTCATTTTGTTTATTGGACAGGTATTTTTAGCACCAGGCCTGTAGGTGACCGGTCATCTCTAAGCTCCTACCATATGTCTTTATACATCAATCATCGAAAAAAAACTTGAAAGTTTTTATGCTCCTTACCAGGATTGAACCCGTGTCCTTCTTCGTCCTTCTGTTTCCAAGCATACATCTAACCCATTAGGCCACCCCGGCGATGGGTTTATTTTATATAATAATAAATTTAAATTAAATATTGCTCATATTAATATATGAGCTTATGAGAATTGGGATGCTAATTATGGGTAAGATGTAACATATGTCTCAAAATTGAACCTGTATTTATATCTCATTAACTCCCTGTGCGATACTAAGTCTCTCTTCAGTCAACTTATGATAAGTTTATAAATATTGATTAAGAGATATATAATTATAATGCAAAGACATTTTATCTCGTATATTATTACTTCAAACTTAAAATTTATCAATCATAATATTTTAATATTAATGTAATGAAAATATATATGTAAGTATATGAGGAGGTAATATATTTATTTATATATTATTAATTTTGTTATCGTTATACCTTAGCATATATATACTCATGAATAGATTCAATTATGTAAGGCACGAAAGAATTAATAAAATAATTAAAATTTCATTATTCAAAGCCGATATTTCTTCACATCTCAAGCCACGATATACATACATTATTAATAATTCGCAGCCTGATGGGTATACGTTAATACCCTTAAATATAGGGAAATACGTTTATGGGTCCTTACTTGTATAGAATTTTTCGCCCCATCAAATAATAAATGCCATCGATTAGATATAGTGTACCAAAAAAATTCAAATCTAGCCAATTAAAATATATTTTATAATAATATAACATAAACATGTTCATTTGGAAAGAGGCTATATCCCTAATTAAACTATTAACCAAAAAATCCAATAAACAAATGCCCTTTTGATTAAATAAATAATCAGCTTTGAAATATCACGAGAAATTTTAAATAATTTAAAAATTCAGCAGTCGTCATCAGATAAAGATTACACTCTTTTCTTTAAAAAAGATATTTTTATATGGACATAGTTCACATGTTATTTCTTATTAATATCGATTATTAAATTAATAATAAAGAATTAAATATAAATTTTTTATATTATATATTAAAGTTTATTCAAAACATAAATCCTATTATGCAAAATTCCGTATGATGTAACTCCATAGTTGTTTAAATACGATATATCATAAAAATAATTAATAAATAAAATTTTAAAAATTATAATAATATTAAAAAATAAAGGATTTAAAGATCAATTAATAAATCAAATTATAAAAATTTCAATTAAATTTTAAATGAGACATTGCTTACAAATTTGAAATGATTAATTTAACATTCTCAAATCATATTTTGAAAATTTGAAATTTAACCTAAGAATGTCGCTCATAATCACAACCAGCATCTTAAAATTAAATTTCATAATTAATAACGCTTAACATTATATTTAGAAAAACGTCCTAAGATATTCATGTGCAATATCTCACCAGCAACCTTTATATTTAATATAAAAAACAACCATTTAGAATGTGAAAAGTTATTTAAATGCTTTCATGTCTACAGAGAAAATATTATACAGAAGTATTTTAATAGTAAGAGAAAGCATTGTATTATATAACCTGTCTTTTCCGTTGGCTGATAGCCGGGAAGCTTCTTTCAAATGTCTCAATTCATATGATGTACTGTTTCTAAACTGCATAATATTCCCATTGTTTAGCATTTCCTAATGGAATTACTACTATTCAAGTAGAGCTCTAAAATATTAATGAAGGTTAACACCAAGGTCTTTCATTCCACATTGGAAATTTATCAAAAGTATGAAATATATCTTTAAAATTTTTTATAAAAAACCTTATCTAATTTTTAGCTTACAAAGATGATGGTAGTCTTTCAATTTTAAATTGAAGCAATATTTATTGGGACTATTGGCTCCTCTAAGAAAAAAATATTGGGATAAAACCCAAAGAGTGTTTATTTGTAGAAGATTTCTTAACAAGGTCTATGTTAGTTTACCTAGGGCATCTCATAATATTAATTT